CGCCCCCAGTTGCTACACCCCAATGCTGCACCGCGCCAGATTCAGAACCCGAGAGCGTGACATTACAATGCCCCTGGTAACGCACCCATTGTAGCATCACAGCGCAATATCGCGGTGTCCCGATGCCAGTAACCGAACAAAGGCAATTTTCACTTTATGTTTTGGCTTCCTTGAGTGTCGATTTCAATTCCTTGTGTGTAGAAGTTCTTCTATTTGAGGGAGAAGAATAGAGTTTTTAAGTTCTAAAATGCGGAGAGCTTCGAGTGTGGTGTAATATAAGATAATTCTTCTCATTTTCTTCATAGTGAATTTCTTAGCGTAGTGTGGTTTTATAATTTTTTTCCGTTCTCAGGGTTTTCAATATTAAATCTTGACGTTTTCTGTGTTTTCTTGTTTTGTGCACTTTTATTCTAAGTTTTGCTTCAAATATCTCAATTTGGTTTTCGCATCCCCCGTAACAAGTTATAGAGTAGTTTATATTACTATATGAGAGTAAGGTGAACTTATTTTATTAAGCATCATCACATCGACATATTTGTACTAAATAGAGCCTGAGACACACTTATAAGTAAATAAAACTTATAATCTCGACCTCCATGTCACGATAAAGACTACCTAATATTGCGCTCTTAGGCTGGACTAAGGCTATAATTGAGTGGAGCTATCTCGAGCTCTGCTTAATCGCCTAGGCTCACCTCATCACAAAACTTAACAAATATAAATTTAAAATACATTTGAAAGTAACTAGATTGAATGGTTTAAAAAGACCAATTTGTTAAGAAATAACATAAATGTACTTTTATTTTCCCCTTTTCAAGTGGTTTCCTATCATCTATCCTATACATTGCCATTCCTTTCATCGTTTTATTAGAAAAGCTGATATCTCTTTCATGAGAAAGAAGTCAATCATGAGCCTACTTAATCTAATAGAATTACGCTCAAGTTTGAACGTAAACTCAATTAATTAGTCAAGCTCAAGCTAGTAGTTGAAGCTCGACTCAACTGGCTTAAACCAGTAGACCATACCCTATGAGTTAAGACTCAGAATGTGTTATTCAATTCAAAGATTCTCAAGTTCGCTATGTCAATTAGAATTTTCTCATTCTAAGGTCTGATTAAACTATGACTAGACAAGAACAGATAATAAAAGGCTATCTATCTCAGTAAAAGCGCAAAGAGGAGAACCAAGTTACTAAAAAGAGAAAACTGTCAAAATAATTCCCCAACTCTTTGAAAATGGCTAGCTCCAGAGTCTATAAAAGTGTTAATTTAGTCCTTAGACTCTTTCCATATGGCCTTATATATAGTCACCACGGAGGACTATTTTAGCCCCCATTAAGAAAGTTTGAGTACTAATTTGACAATTTTATAGACTATTGTGACTAAAATTGTCCTATGTAGATAATCAGGGACTATTTTAATACTTTACTGAAAAAATATACCGTGAAGTACGGAAGCCAAGCTTCCATGCGGAGAGAATTGGAGAACCATATGCAAGCCACCCTCAACACCAAATCCCACTAGTTGTGCAGCATTTGGGTGAGTCACATGGGCAATGATTCCGAGCTCCGATAAGAAATCACCGGTTCTCTCTTCTTCTTTCTCCTTCTTAGTTAACCTCTTGACGGCCACGAATTGGCCGTCAGGGAGACGGCCTTTGTACACCTCTGCATGCCCTCCCTTTCCAATTAAATTCTCTGTTAAGTTTGCAAATAAATAAATAAATAAATTGTCAACATAGAAGAAAATTAGATAAATCTTATGTTTTGTAAGGTGTAACACAAGAAGGAAAATAAAATAGACATTTAAACCAAACAAAGCAAGAATGTGCAATCACAATGAAATTAATACATTTAAATTTAAAAATAAGTACAATAAGTTTAGATATTTTTTAATGGGATTTGCAAACATATGCCATGTTTTGTATGTATTTACATATCTAACACATAATCTTTAGTTTTTTTTGAAGTTTAAAACACAACTAAATCTTTAACATCACATAAAAATTATCAATAGCATTGATGTTTTTTAAAGTAAAACATGCATTTTCATGCATGTATTTTGATGCAATTATGACTATACATTGTTATATAAGTATATAAGTAGACATCAAAGTTTCAGGGTCAGACACGCAAATCCGCTGAAATGCAAGGTATGTATGTAAATCCCCTTTTTGTAATAAAAAGCCCACAGAAAAACATATAATTCATTTTTAAGATAAAATTGATAATATTGACATAATTTGGTTATCAAAAAAGCACAAATTGAATATAATAAATAACAAAAATATCTTGATGTAATTAAATAAATAAATCACCCCCTTAGTTGATCTAGAAATAAAAAAGAAACCAAAAATATTCATAAAAATAAATTTTCATAATGAATTTATATCTAGAAATACTACACATCAACATAGAGATTAAAAAAAAAATTAAATTTATGCATGTTTATGTTTAAAAAACAGATTGAAAGACCACTTCAAGTGAGTCAAGGCAGCACAATAAAATTTAAAAGATTTACTTGCTTACATATCTAAGGCCTAAACTTTAATTTTTACATGAAAATATGTATATTCCACTTTATTAAAAGTTAAAGTATTGATATCTTCAATGTGATATAAGAGACTAGGATTACTGTATGAATGCAAAATGTAAAATTTCATTGTTAGTTGTGTAAACATATAGGGTTTTGGCGGTATGTATGTAAATGCCCCTTAAATTTATCAAAACAAGATCAGAGTCTCCATTTAACAGAAGTTAAAAGAAGGAGAACTACCATGTTGTGTAACACTGAGAAGAGGGTACCATACTTTAAAATAAATTTAAAATGTAATTTATGATTTTGTTAGAAACAGTACTAAAAGTTGATATGCCCCTGAATAATTATAACACCTTGGCACATGTCTAAGTAAATATACTAAACAAGACAGAAAATTTAAAATATGAGAATGTTCAAATAAACTATTCAAAAAAGCTCTTTTTTTTTTTCATTTTTTCTTTTACTTTTTATGGGCATTTACATATATACCATTCATTTCTTGTGTGCTTACATATCTAACATCCAAATTGTACTTATTTACATTTACACACTCCAACCTTTCATATTACATCAAAATAACGTCATTTTAACTTTTAAAAAGTGAAATACACATTTTCATGCATAGGTAAGGCGGCATAGATGCAAAAATTGAAGGTTAGGTGTAAGATATGTAAATGCAAAGCAATTAAGTGATATGTATGTAAATCTTCCCTATATTTTTTCCTTAAGAGGACACCAACTGAGCTTGTGATATGATGATTGGAATGGAAGCACCTTTATATCATCTTCTTAGTAAGTTTGTTTAAGTGCCAGCTAAATTTTTTTATATATATTTTACCTTGATCAAGAAAAGTGTAATTAGTGATATTTACAGCTGCTTAAATTAAAAAAATGTATGTAACATCATGAGATGAGCATTTTTAGGAGAGACAGGACAAGTTTTATGTCACTCAACCACTCATAAGTAAACAAAGAAAAGTGTTGAATGGCTCAATCTGTGTACTGTATGCATCCAAAGCCAAAAACAGTCATAGTGTTAAAATAATTAAATTAAGTAATCAGAGGATTAAGAGCTAAAAAGCTATCAGCTTTTTATATTATTTATGTGATTAGTAACAACTTTCAAAGACTGATGAAATAAGACTATAGTTTGGTTAAGAAAATATATATAAAAAGCATCCTGTTAAATAAATACAACCAAATTAACTGCTTTTATATTCGGTAGATTCATGAAGAAATTAAACAATGACATAAGGGCTAAATTGTTTGCTTGAATTCAGTAAAAAAAATGCTTTGAAAAATGGTAAATTTATTAGATGTCATCATTAATTTCTAGGGTCATTTATAAACATACCATTCAATTCTCATGTATTTCCATATCTAATACCTAAACTTTATTTTTTTACATTTAAACCACTGAAATCTTTCATATCACATCAAAAATACTACTTAACTTTATTTATTTATTTTTGGTTAAATACACCATTTTTTGTTTAGGTAAGATGGCATGTATGTAAAAATTGAAGCTTTGGTATTAGAATAGATATGTAAACATATGTGAGCTAAGTGGTATGTAATGCAAAATCTTCCATATTTCTATCAACATCAACTAAAATAGCCTTAAACTAACTTGATTTTACCCCAAAAACAAACTTTGCACCAAAAAAAAACTCAAATTTACATCCTAATTCAACAGAAATTCTACTGAAACTTAATATAAATCAAATTTACAAGAATTTACCATGACTGAAGTTATCAGTAGCCGCCACAAGCTCCTGCAGGTCGAAATTCCTCCAACATGGCTTCCTCATCGGAATCTCCAGCTGAACTAATCCTCCCTTGGGTTGTTCTTCACCGCTCTGAAACATTCCCAAGCACTTCCTCTCCAAGCACGAAGCTTTCATGGCCGGCGGGAAGGTCGACAGCCTCATGATGTTTCTCTTCTTCCTCTGCAACAGCCCGCCGATCAGATTCCTCCATTGTGAGCTGTGACATTCTAGCACAGTCCCTTCAGGACTCAGAGATCTATCAATGGAGGAAGAAGAATCGTTGCTGCTTGCAGTGTCAGAATGAATGCTTGAGGTAGGAATCTCTAAAACTCCTCTTGGAGAGCTTTGACATGAGCCATCTGTGCTGTTCTCTTCAGATTCCGTTTTGGAGTTTTCTTTGTTTTCTTCTGTAACTTTAATGGAGAAGACAAGGGGGAGCACTAATGAAAAAAATATGATATACAAAGTCTTTTGGTGGTTTCTTTAATTGAAAACATACGCACCACTTGCTTGCTCCAATGTTATTAATGTTGCACTGTTATTAAAATAATGGATTTTTGATGTTATCTATCTAACACACTGAGTTTGGCCCAATCTTATTTTACAATGAGATGTTATCTTGAAATTCTGATTAGATTTTGGCCTTAATTTTTGAGTAAATTATTTATGTTGTGAGAAAAATTTGGTTTTTAGGCGTTGGTGAAGTTCCGTTCGGCTGAAGTGAATGTTGATGCCTGCAAAAATTTTCGTTTCAAAAGAGAGATGGATTTTCACCGTTTTAGATCACAGCTGGCCTCCTCCAATTCGAGGAATTTGGCTTTTAAAAAAAAATTGTTGATCGGTGACACTGCCTCAAATGAAGCCTAAGTGGAGAAGCTAACTAAATTAGTTGGTAAAAATCTATAAAAAAATATTTTTGAAGTTCCCTAGCTGTCTTGTTTGCATCAAATTATGCTTCATCATTAAACATCAAATTAAGAAAAAAAAATGTTATTTTGCACTCTGTTCGCGGCTCCTCTGTTCGCTGCTCGGAATAAAAAGTTAATATATAGATTAATGGAACTTAAGGTTTTTTCTTTTTTTCCTATTTTTTTTCCATTAATATTGTATTATATTTTCTTACCTTCAGTTCTTCCACTGTTTCTTCCATAAATAACCAAACTTTAAACCAGTTAAAGATCAAAGCGCAAAAATGAAAAATCAAACTGAAATACTGAAAACAATCCAAAACAAAAAACAAAAAAAAAAACTGATTCGCTTCGCTGAATCTTCACCAATAAACAAGAAATACGCCACACTTCACCATAAAAAAATAGCACAAAAAAAAAAAAAAAACTGACCTTTTTCAACTCCAAAAAAGGGCTTCTGGTGTTCATCTTCGCCGA